GTGGAAAAAGCCAAAAACCACTGACACAAAAGTCGCTCCGAACACGCCCTAATATTAATTGCATCCCATCTAAGCAGGTTATACCGTATGTAACGTTAACGTTACAGTATCATTGGAGTCATGGATTGTCGGATGGTATCCGGAAATCATCCGGATAACGTTCTGGAAAATTCGACAACGTCGAACGCCGCTGGCACATTTTCGAACGAGCCATGTCGGATGATGAAGCCACACACGAAGGGTACCATGGGTGGTTCAAGTCGGTGCCAAAGATGGAACAGGTAGAGAAGGCGATCTGATGGCATGCTCTTACGTGAGTTTACGGCAGGACTTTACCCCGCAACCCATCGATGTGACAGCAACGACCGACTCGGCGTCTGGCGCGGGCTCTGCATGGAACCAAGGCGGCACGTGGTAGGGTCTGCATGCAGACGAAAGGATCAACGACTTATGTTATGCGGGAATGTCTTTCCATTCTAGGGAAGAAATCAACAAGTCGCAATGGGCGAAAGAGTCTTTGAAGCGCTTCATTCTCGAGGAATTCCAAATCGTGGATGCCGCGACTGGATGGAACGTGCGCGCGACGACCATTGTCAAGTGCGATGGGGATGCCAAGGTATGGTTTTGATGAAAAGGCGAGAGATTCATGACCATACATGTAGCTCGTGTTTAGTCGTGGCAAGAAGCGTTGCGGGTACGACATTGCGCTGGAGTTCGACTACGAAGGGGTCCACGTCGGCAAGTCAGAGACGTCGTCGGGCAAGATCAACCTGCACGACTTTGAGGACACCAACGGCGAAGACTACGAGATCCACGTCAAGTCCGCCACGTCCTCCGCGCAGGACAAGACCACCGTCGCTATCATCAAGAAGCACGAGAACGCGCTGCGAACTGTCCTGTTAGCTTGGAAACAGGACCTGTTGCAACAATAAAATCATATAATCATCCGGATATTGTATCCGGCATCGTGTCCGGATAAACAGTTTCCAGCGATTCAGTTTTCGGATCACATCATGGCAGAAGAGCTCGTGCAGGGCGTGGCGGACGCCGTCGTGGCGTTCTTTGCGAAGGAAGACACGGGACACTTGGTGACGGCGAGCATCTTGTCCGTGTCTATCTTGATGACCATCGCGCTGTTGAGTCAAGGGTCGACGGACTCTGTGTTCCAGCATGGGTTTGGGGTCTGGGGTCAACACGCGGCCGCCGATCGCATCCAAGGAGAAGAACGCGAGCGGGACGAAGCTGAGAGGGAGATCTTCCAAGAGTCTAACGTTAGCGGGAAGAGCACCCCCGAAGAAATCGTCGGCGCTGACCTGTTCTTAGCGACCAAGCTGCCATGGATCACATTGTCGTTGGCGGTGGTGGTCGTAGCTGGCAGTGTGCATGTAGCAGTGTCCTCACCTCTGTAAGAATGTCTTGATAACACCAACATGCACAGGGCGATAAGTAGTTGATGCATTCTGTATGTTACGACGGTGCGAGAGTAGTACAGTACTGGGAGGATTAACTGTTAATAATTTAGAATGTTCCGTCGAGTAGTGACAAGTTACAGTACTACAGTATGTAGTACTTGTAGTAGAAAAGAAGTTTACACCGTAATTTGGTGTGAATACAAATTTCAAGATATACAAGCTTAAATATAAAACGCGTTATATCCAGGCTTGAAGTCAACGCAAAATGGTGCAGTATACAAACTTCAGGACGTTTAATGTGTACCATTATCTGCGCTTCAAGTCGTTTGACCATGTTTTGTCCGGTTAAGAGGTCTATAAATACTTTTCATCTGCCAATCAAATACGTCTCTCGTATCATCCGTGATGATGATTGGTTGCACCATCAGCAATGCTGCACATGTCCGGTTAAGAGGTCTATAAATACTTTTCATCCGCCAATCAAATACGTTTCTCGCATTGTCCGAGACGATGATTGGATCACTCCCATCATCCGTGACGATGATTGGTTGCACCATCAGCAATGTTTCGTCCAGCGTCTACATAAAAACAACGCATTTTAGATAAGTCTTGTTGATCACATTATTATACACGTTTAATTCATATAGCGTGTCACAGTAGTGGTAATTATGCGGCGTTGTTCTGAAGTACATGCTACATGGAGCAAAGACTGGTAGCATCAATCTGAATGGCAAAGCTCACTGCACTCATAGGTGGCCTTATGAATATTCGTTCGCATGTGTTTAATCGTATTTTTGCCTTTGGTACTTCGAGATTGAGGAAGATATTTGAGGACCTCGTAAATCGACAGTACCGGATGTGAACACCATTACAGTACTTCCCAATTGCCACAGTACAACAGATAGTTGTCATACTTCAAGTCAGACATACCGCAGGTACACCGAATCGTCAGTTGATCAATCTATGACCAAGTGATCGGTTATAATGTAAACAACCCCTATTATATACAATATATGTCTGTCAACGAACAGTAAGGCATTATTTCATCCCAAGATCTATTGACCCAAGCCGTATATTTTTATTAATATTAATTTATTCTAATGTACTACTTCTAGTAAGTACTTCGAGGTATGAAATATGATTGATTGGTATCAATATCACTTGGCATGCAAGTGTGTAACGTAAACGCAGTGACATGATGCAAGTTCGCGATTTTCCTCTATTACTCAGTTCCCTTTATAAATACAACTAAATTCTCGTCGATTCAGGAGTGCCGTTACCTTATTCAATAATAACCTGTACAATTTAATATTATATACTAATGTTTCTGTGTCACAACGTTTTTGATGATGACTCTACCAATCACAACGCCAAATTCCGGCCTTATTCAACGTCGTTCCTTGTAGGTATGTATGTATGTACAGTGTTTGCCAGCAAAAGTCGACGAAAGTACCGTACCTTTCGATTCAATGTTGGAGTGGTACTCGGCTGTGACCACTCTGTTTCTAGTCTATTCAAAATTAATATGTCTATGTGATGTTGGAGGAATATAATTTTATGGGAGTTCTTCGTGGCAATCAAACTCAAATTGAAATCATACAAGTACATTTCTAGGGCTTGCGATGGGACGGTCATGGCATAATGGAAAGTGAATGGAGGTGTCAATGTCAGTTTACAAGCTCAAGTTTGCATGCTAAAATCTGCAGGAAGTCGCTTCAAGTTTGCTCGTCAGTTATCGTGTTGTAGAGAGGCATTACTTCTGAAAGGATATTTATTTCTAGAGGCAATGAATATCAAATTTTCCAGTGGTACTCCTGGCTGTACCACTCCAACATTGAATCGAAAGGTACGGTAGCACACGTCAATAGAATAATTTTTCGAAACCTGGGGATCGTAACGAATAGATCCAAATGGATAAAATTGACTGCGCAATCTATTCTTAATCAAAGATTATGCTCAGCTGTGATTTGCCCAACTCAATTTGAAATTTGAAACTTCACACTTCCATGTCAAAATGGCATTCTACGAACGGCAGCGCCAGCCACCATGCAGCAGTGGCGTTACACGAACGCTGAGCGCAAGGCGCTTCTGCAGGAGTTTCATGCATCCGTTCGACCTCGATTCGTCGTGACATGGTCCTTATATTTTTGATTCGTCCCGTCAGCGAGTAGTACCACTCTACATACAAATTCCCCTATTGATGGTATACTTTCTTCGAATTTTACTGGCAAACACTGTACTCGTGGTCATCAATGTGATCGCGAATATTCGAAGTCACGCGACTGAAGATACGCTTGTATCCAGAAATGTATCTACGTTGACGCTTGGACAAGAAGCGAATAATCATTTTTTTTATCGGCGCAACTTCAACCTTGTGGTTTTGTAGACGACATGGATGGATAGTTCATTGTGCACTTTGCCGTCATCTACTCACTTGCTTCTTCCGTCCACAACTCAAGAACTACAATGGGATTATTTGGACAGTATCCGTCGGCGCTGTCGCAGGTGCTGCTCGTGTCGTTCACTTGTTTTTGCGGCCCTGGTCTGTACAACGCCCTCAGCTCTGTGGCCGCGGGTGTGTCTGATGAAACCATCGCGTACAACGCGTCGGCGGTCCTGTACGCTTGCTTTTCCTTGTCAGGGCTGTTCGCGGGGGGTATTGTCAACGTGATCGGGCCCAAGTGGACACTCGCTATCGGGGCGTCGGGTTACGTTTTGCTATCGGCTTCGTTGCTCGTCATGGACAAAGGCTTGGACGTCGACACAAAGACGTACTCGGACGGCGCGACCAACTTCTTTTATGCGGCTAATGCGATTCTGGGCGTGTGCGCGGGATTCCTCTGGACTGCCCAAGGCCAAATGTGCATGGCGTACCCGACCGTGGAGACCAAGGGCACATACTTTTCCTACTTTTGGATCCTCTTCAACCTCGGGGGAACCTTGGGGGGACTCATCACGTTCGGAACCAACTTTGACAACAACGGCGGCGTGTCAGCTTCCACAGCCACATACGTTGTGTTCCTCGTGCTCATGACGCTGGGCGTGATCTCGGCTTTGTTTGTGGCGAATCCGGAGAACGTCGTGCGCAACGATGGGTCAAGGGTCACGGTGGAGCACCTGCCCAACCCCGCGACTGAAGTTTTCGAAACGTTCAAGCTGTTCCTGGACCCCAAGATGCTCCTCCTATTCCCCCTCTTTGCCTACTCCAACTGGTTTTACAACTACCACACGTTCTACAACTCGTCCATTTTCAACAGTCGCACGGGGGGGTTTTCGTCGGCGTTCTACTGGGGCGCCCAGATGCTTGGGGCGTACGTCATCGGCGTGTACCTGGACCGCCCCGGCAACAAAAAGGCCAAAGCGCTGCAGTCCATCATCGTCTTGACCGTGCTCATCTTTGTCATGTGGGGCGTCGGGCTGTATGTGCAGATTGACTTGGACTTGGGCCTGAAGGAGAAGAAGAAGAACCTAGACTTGACCGACGGCCCGTTCGTGATCAAGTTTCTGCTCTACTTTTTCTACGGATTCAACGACTCGATCTGCCAGGTCTGGGCGTATTGGCTCATGGGCCAGTTCTCCGACAACTTGGCGACCTTGGGTCGGTATGCCGGATACTACAAGGCCGTCCAGTCGGGCATGGCGGCCGTGGCGTGGCGTCTGGGGGGCATCCCCATCACCCCTGTAGCCAACGTCATCGTCAACTGGGTCCTCGCAACCGTTGGAATCGTGGGGGCGTACCTGTCGGTCCGGATTTACATGGTCAACTCCCCCGCCTCTGGGGACTTTGAGGGCGCCGAGACCCCCGACC